CTACCACTACCACTACTGCTACTGCTACTACTGCTACTGCTGCTACTGCTGCTACTACTGCTACTGCCACTGCCACTGCCACTGCCACTGCCACTGCCACTGCCACTGCCACTGCCACTGCGACTGCGACTGCGACTGCGACTGCGACTGCGACTGCGACTGCGACTGCGACTGCTACTGCTACTGCTACTGCTACTGCTACTGCTACTGCTACTGCTACTGCTACTGCCGCTATCGCTACTGCTACTGCTACGGTTGCTGCTGCTGCTGCTGATGCTGCTGCTGCTGCTGCTGCTACAGTACTGCTACTGCTACTGCTACTGCTGCTGCTACTGCTACGACTACTACTCCTGCTGCTGCTACTGCTACTACTGTTACAGACGACGATGGGGACTACTACTTCACCACTACGACTACTACTACTACTACTACTACTACCACCACCACCGACAACGACTACCACAACCACGACCACGACCACGACGACGACTACTCCTACCACTACTGCTACGATGATCAGTATTCCCTCCAGTTCCGCGACGACTACTACTACCACTAGTAGCTGCAGTACTCCTTTGTCAGCAAGGCAGGATAATGGCACAGCATTTGAAAGTGTTTCCGTGGTTTAGTGAGCCCCAGCAGGATCGGCTGGGTTGGAGTTTCGTCGTCTGCAACGTGTGCAACCTGGGAGAGGCGGGAAGGAACTACGGAGAAGGGGTTCAGTGTTCGTTTCGGCGTAGAGGTCTAGGGCTCGTACACGCACTCCGGATGTGCAGAAATTCTCCTAGCACGTAACACGATTAAGAGGGTCAGTGTTCTTGCACTGCCATGGCTCTGCTGCTTCACCGATGTGGTGACCTGACGATGTGTACTCCACCTGCCCATGGCCGCCCTCTTGCAGGGTTATTGGGTCAGAGCTGGGATCCTCAAACAGGGACCGATGCTCCCCCAGTTGAAGTCGCAGTCTTGTTCATGTCAGTATCTTTTCGTCCCTCAAGTTGTGCGGCACGTGTCTGCAAAAGCGAGAGTGGTCTGTCTATGTGCAAGCTACGGAGATTCCCTCCGCCAGGCTGTCTCGTGTGTGCGTCTAGGCGTGGTCAACTCATCTTTGGCTTCTCGCGATCTCTTTCTTCAGTTCAAGTGCTGTTGCGACGCTTGTCAAGAGTTGTCCAGCATTGCTCGAAGTTGGTGCGGAAAAGCATGCATTGAGAGAGAAGCTTCCTCTCGACAGCAACGGCCTTGGTTTTGAGGAGTTGCTTGGTTGCTCTCTAAACAGTAAAAGCCCGACAGCCTAAAACTCCAAAACCCCCACACTTCGCAAAGGTTGCCTTCCAAGCATAGAGGATTCGAACTCCAAGTTTTGAATGCACTGAAACAGCCTGTACCAGGAGCTTACGACTCCAGCCCAATGCGCGGAACCTTATACCTTGCCACCCTTTTAAACAACAAAGTACTACACCCTCAAAAATACTCGCAGGCAGGGCGATGCCGCGAGCAGCAGCTGGTCTTTCGCTACGATGGGCCTTTGAGACATCTACCGGTGGTCCGGAACTTGAACCACGTGCTTGACGAGGTGGGCATGGTCCTTTGCCGTGTTTTAAGTGTTGACGAAACTTGGATCATCGGCTTCTGACATGAAAAGGCAGCTTTCCATGGGCTGTCATTGCCACCTTACTGGCTGAACGAAGACGTGCCCCTTGTTTGCAATGCTGGGTCTGCCAAGTACAAACTTGCATGAATCTGTCTTGAGTCTTGGCGGAATATCTTTCTGAGCACAATTACTTCACACACACCGGATTCCCGCCGGCCTGCCCACACCTATACCGGACGCGGCACCTCCATCTTTGAGCAAACGAAAGCCTTGGTGAGAGTGCAGCCTGCAGCATTACTCTTGAGTCCTCCTCAGCTTTTGCAGCCTTAGCACCCTAAACCCTAAACCCTATACCCTAAACCCTAAACCCTAAACCCTAAACCCAGGGAAGCAGGCACGCCCTAGTAAAGCCCGAAGTTCCCAGGTTGGCGCACAGGAAGAACCGCTCGATTGAAGTCTGCTCACAAGACGAGGTGGCGAACCTCCAGGAGCCTCTTTCTTCCCAGACCCCAAAAGGATCCTAAAAAATAGATCCCCTAATTAAGGGGGTTCCTATAAAGTACCCTTTTTAGTTAGGGTAGCTAATTAGGGGATCTATTTTTTAGATCCTTTTGGGGGTCTGGGTTTGGGCTTATAGAAAACCCCAAAAAGTTGGAAACTGGATTAAAGTCAAACAGTGCTGGGATTCCTTATACCTTGCTCTTAAGGATTGAGGCCATTGGGTTTCCAACTTTTGGGCTTCTACCATAGGGTTTTGGGTCCAGGAGCCTCTTTTGGGTTGGAGTTTCGAAAGCCTCGAGAGAGTTAGGTGAGGATTTTTGGGCTTTGGAGTTTAGGGTTTGGGCTCGGGGTCTAGGTTTCAAGGCGTCGGGCTCGGTTCAGGGTTGAGGCGCAAACGCGTGAACTTGGTCCTAAACCAAACCCTAAATAAACCCTAGGCTCCTGAACTCCTAAAACCTCTAAACTCCTAAAACCTAAGCTCCTGAACTCCTAAAACCTAAGCTCCTGAACTCCTAAACCCTAAGCTCCTAAACTCCTAAACCCTAAGCTCCTGATCTCCTAAAACCTAAGCTCCTAGACTCCTCAACCCTAAGCTCCTAGACTCCTCAACCCTAAACCCGGGTTGCTTCGGGTTTTATGATCCGCCACCCGAGCCTCTGACGTCCTATCCCTGCTGCAGTTCACAGGGTGTTCCTTCAAGGGTTTAGGGCGTAGGAACCCTAAACCCTAAAGCCTAAACCAGGGTTTAGGGGCCAGGGTGTTCTAGGGTGTCGGGTTTGGGGCTGAGGGGTCTGGGTTTGGGTTCTAGGGTCCCCTATAAAGGGTTCCTCTTACTTGGGTAAACTTTCTTGTGCCCTTTGCAGAACCCGGAAACACCCCTACTCCATCACTAATCACTCACGGCACCCTAGCGTCGCATCATTCGAAAAACGTCCCTTCAGCAAGTTACTGCAGCGTCCTGAATAATTAACTCTACTATTTTGGGGGGTTCCGTATAATGATTATAGTAGATGGGGCCCCAAAACCCTATTCTAATTATTAAGGCCCTATAGTAGCCCATAAGAACCCTTTAAGGAACCCTTGAAGGAACCCCAAAACCCTATTCTAATTATTAAGGCCCCTACACTAATTTGGAGCCTTGGGTTGAGACCTCAGCGCTTTGGGAGCGCACGGGCTGTCAGCATCCAAGCTTGCCAACGGGGGTTTAGGGTTTAGGGTTTAGGGTTTAGGGTTTAGGGTTTCCCTAAAGCTTCCGCATTATAAGTCGACGATAGTTTATTCCAAAACCGTATTCCACTTCTTAAGGTCGCTATGTTAGGTCGACTGTAGTCCAATATGCATGTAATGGTGGGACGTTCCGTGAAGCTTACGGATTTTCCAACAAAGCGTAGAACCAGGAGTACTCCTTGTGACTTGTGATTCTGGAACCTTGGCCAAAGACTTGTGGCGGCTGCACCCTCTGCAAAGCCCAAAGTCGTTGCCGGCAGGAGATCTTCGACGAGACCTTCAAGCGAATTCTGACGCGAGACCGTGTCTACGAGTATCAGGCCAGGAAAGACACAAGAAGCACGCCCTGAATGAAGGGAATATACACCTTAAAGCAAGTTAGGGACCCTAGCAACATCTAAAGTTTGGTTAGGATGTGGTGTTGCAGTGTTTGGGGGAGCAAGTGTTTCGGGATGAAGCCTCCGGGTTTGTTGGTTCATCGGCGATGCCTTCCACGGTGATTGCCGTTCCACAAAACAGGTTTCAGACATCCGAAGCCCGAGCCGATGTTGATTTCTGGGGTCCGTGGAGCAAGACCACATAAGTCGGGTTTAGGGTTTAGGGTTTAGTGGCTCAGGGTTTAGGGTTTATCGAATCCGCCTTGTGCGGGTCTTCATACCCAGCCGCCGCCTGCAGTCTTCTGGAAACGGCGCTTCAAAGTCTGAGGCAAACCCGCGAAAACCGAGACCGTGGAAGCTAAAGCCCATGTCCAGGGATCCTTCTATATGTTAACTTTAGGGCGTACGGTTTATAAAGGTTTAGGCTATCCGGAATCTGAAAACCCTGGACCCTAAACCCTGAACACCGAAGCCGATATCCTGAAGAGCCCCAAAATCTCTTGCTGAAGGAACGCTCTCAAATAGTTGTAGGCACCCTGAACCGCCTGGACCCTTAAATCCTGAACCCCGAAACCCCCGAAACCCTAACTCTAGGTCCCAAAGCCCTAAACCCCTCCAGTCTCTTGGAAATCCGAGGCGCGCACCAATGAGGAGATGCCTTATCGCCTCGAAGTGGTGCATGCCTTCAGGATGGGGAGCGTTTAGGCTCTAAACCCTAAACCCTAAATCCAAGAGTTTAGAATTTAGTTTTCTAGGACGGGCCCAACCCGGAAAAGCCGAGGGTGTTGAGGGCTCAGGCGGTTAAAGGTTCAGGGAGTAGGGTTAAGGCGAGAGTTATGAAGACACGTAAGATTTGATATTCGTGATACAGGGATACAAGTAGTGATGCTCATGATGAAGCGAAGAGGAGGAGGAGGTTTGCCTTTGTGTGTGGCAGTGAGGGTTAGGGTGACAAGGATTATGGTGGCTGATGATGCTGATGAAACTTCTGGACATGATGGTCGTGACGAGGATGAGGTTGTGACATTGATGATGTTGATGGCACTGGATAGTGATGATCATGGTGGCGAGGGGGTTGCCGATGGTGATGCTGACGATGGTGCTGGTCATAACCCGAGGTCCTAAGCGAATGCCGGTCCTCAGATACTAGGAGCGAGAATGCGGAGCTCTTTCTGAAGTTCGCAGAGCGGCGAGAAGAGTACAAGGGCGGCTGGCCGCTGAAGGCAGGATCTTCAGGAGTGTCGGACCGAGGACGTGGCTGAAGCACATGTACACTAGCACACCATCTGGCGATATGCCATCTCATCACGTCTTTGTGAGTTTGTATGTGGGGTTCACTCTTACATATGGGGTTGTAAAATAACCCCGCGTGTCGCCGTTGACTCTTGGCCCGTCGCTCTGTAAGCATCCTTGGTTTTGCTCGGGAAAACGATGACAAGAAAAAACCGATAACATCGTTCGGGCGAGGACCCACAACGAGGCATTTCCAGTACTAAAGTTGTACTACAACCCAGTACAATCCAGCCAGGACCCCAAATCAGGCATTTCAAGTACTAAAGTTGTACTAACATCAAGAATTGTGGTTTTCACTGGTAAAACGATGACAACAAAGAACGATAACGTGATTCCGGGATAGGGAAATTTATAAGGGGTTATCTTACAACCCCATATGGTCATGCGTGGTTATGCGCAGCGTAGCCTCACCATATAGGTAATATCAGCATGCCCGTGGTTCCGTATGACACTGAGTCATGACTGGTTGCGCATCGAGTTAAGTCATCACTTCCTGTTTGGTACCGTGTGTATGTTTATATCTTATGCCGCTGCCTATAGTAAAGATACATATGTGTGTAAACTACATATAATATAACCGCCATATACATGTTTCTATATATGTATCTACGTATACGTACATGTGTATAAAGCTGTGTCGTACCACGTCTTTAACCTTTCTAGTCAATGTCTTTTCAGTTGTGCTGATTGCTTGCACATTCGCGTGGCAATTGCGTCGGATCCATTTTGAACAAGCCTGCGGCGCTGAGCTTTGAGGTAGTTTTGAGTTGTGTAAAGACCTGTCTCATATTCGTGCATGCATATGTATATAGCTGTGTATGAGAACATACTTAGTCCTATATGTTTATGCTGGTATATCTACACCTCACTGATGGTTTGTTTTTGTTCGTTCCTCCTTGTCGTCGTCGTCGTCGTCGTAGTAGTAGTAGTAGTAGCAGCAGCAGGAGAGAAGCAGTAGCAGGAGCAGCGGCAAAAGCCGCCGCAGCCGGCGTGTTAGTAGCAGACGTCGTCGTCGTCGGGTATCAGCAGGAATCGCAGTACTCGTATCAGTGAGTCAGCAGCAGTAGCAGTATCTAGTAGAAGTGAGCTCCAGAAACGCAGCCATAGGAAACTTCTGACGGAAGGTGACAACTTCAACCATCATAGGAGTGCCTCCGCTGGCTCCTATGACTGCTGATTGCATGGCTGTCTTTTAGAGGCATGGCCAAACGCTGAACCCTAAAAGGGTAGAGCCCCTCCAACCTTAAACTCTAAAGCCCCAACTGTAAAATGCTGCCGCTGAAACCTGGATTACCTCGTACTTTCCAGAGCTGCTGCAGGCCAAGAGCCACGGAGCCGGGTCGATGATCAACGAGCGACTGCTGGAAGGACCTTGCGTGCTTAGTCGTTATTGTTGTTGGTATTGCCCTTGTTGTTATGGCTGCTGCGAGTACAAGCCTGTGTCGTCATTATGTTTACTACTTATGGGCTTGATAAGTGCATTGATGATGATCTTCGAGGGTGTGTTGTCGGTGTTAATCTCGGCCTGGACTGTTCGCTCGTTATACTATTCAGAGATAAACACATTAGAAATTGCCATTCCTGGTCGGACTAGTGTCACTACTAGTACCAGCAGTTGTATAGCTGCTTTGGGGTTTTAGGATGTGCGGTTCGCCCACTATAAGCAAAGGCCCGTGTTTGAGCGTTGGGCCTGTGGATTTTGAAGAGCCGCCAGTGAGGGAGGGGCACGGTTTGCATCAGACCATGTTGCGGTTTCAGGTTTTGGCGCTAAGCCCAAAATCCGAAATGCAAGCCCTAAACCCTACGTCGTTACATAGGCATCTTAGAGCCGCCTTGTCGGCACATGAAAACATGAACATATCTGAGCCGGAAGCTCCCAAATTTCTTTAAAGACCCTAGCACTTGAAGTGCTATCAGCCCTGAATCCGTAAACGGTTCTACACTCTAAACTTTAAACCCTCAAGCGGTCATAAATTTAAGTGTTTACTATTGTAGTGCTCCTGTAGGGCTCCTTCAAGGGGGTTCCTCTCAGGATTATTAGAAGGGGTTCCTGTATCGGGCCATCGCAAGAAGGAGAGTCTTACCTGGCGCACGGAACCAACCCATCGTCGGTGGCACAGCTGCAAAAAGGGATGGAGCATCAAAATCTGCGGTTTAAGGTTTAGGGTGGAGGGCAGAGGTGTAGGATCAGAGTTTGGGGTGCAAGGTATGGGGTTTGGGTTTAGTTTTTGTTAGGACGCCTTATTTGGGGATCCTTGTAAGAAAGATCCTGCTGTTGGGGTTCTATGTCACTTCCCTCTTTTCCTGGGGCTTAGGAACTTGGGTTTGGGGTGCAGTTGATTTAAAAAGTTTATGAGAAGAATTGGTCCGCGGTTTGGGAGTTGGGGGATTGGAATTGGGCTTGAAGATATCTGGGAGATTACAACTAAAGGGGCCCTATTGTTACCCAAAGAAGGAGGGTCCTCATAATGAGGATCCCCGAGAAGCCGGAAACCCCCATCTAGTGAATGCAGCATCTTTGTGTGAAGGGTTTAGGGTTTAGGGTCAGGAACCCTTCCTGGAGTTGGTTAAGAGTTTCGGATTTAAGGATCAGGGTTCGTTTGGCTGCTATTACAAGGGTCCAGCTGGGACCCCGCAAGCACCGGCAAATATATAGCCTGTCCTGCAAGCCCAAGGGCAGAACGCGTGCCAAATTTGCTCGGTGTCCGGCAGGCAAAGAGGAAGTAGTAATAATACAGAAGCCTAAGTAATTGGACATCGAATTCTCCTGTGGTCCCTATATAACTGTACGAAACTACAAGATACCCCAAAACACTATCATACTGATGAAGGCCCCTATGAAAGCCGCTCAATAGCCGCCTTTATTCCTCCAAAGCCTTGCTTTCAGCCACCATTCGATCTTCGTGTCCTTGCTACTGCTGTTGCCTGCATTTTCGGAAGGACTGTCTCAACGTCACCGCTTGTCTTCTCCATACTACTGCTGTTGTCATTATAATTGGTGCTGCTTGCGAGTGTTGTCACATGTGATTTGTTCATTAATGCTTATGACCATGACGAGAAGTTTGTGAAGAGTTTAGTTACGGCGGTGCTTCGCAGTATTAGCATGATATCTTCCTGGTGCTCTTGTATTTTCGGGGTCGAATTACACTCCTCGTAAAGCTGTAGTAAAATGTACCACAAAGACTTGTTTGCCACCTACATCGCAGAATCCTTATAGCAACCCTGAAAGAACCTTCAAAGGACCCTATTCTACATGTTAAGGCCCCTACATTAGACCCCTGAAGCCCTAAAGACCTAAGCCCGAACCCGAAACCCTAAACCCTAAACCCTAAACCCTAAACCCTAAACCCTAACCCCTAAGCCCAAACCCTAAGCTACTAGACCGAGGCAATGGCAATCCTAAAGGGCGGCTTCAAGTTGGACCATGCCGGCAGCGCCACCGGAACCATGTTCGGAAACGGGGTCGCCGGGCCGAATTTGGTAGGTTTAGGGTTTAGGGACGTTGCGGGTCAGGGTTTAGGATTTTAGGCAGGTTTTCAGTTTCGAGCATGTAGGGTGTGGAGGGTTTCGGACAAAAGCAGTGTCCATGAATTGGAGTCTAGAGGCCTCAAGTGGCAGACAGGTTTCCTGACAGGTTCTTGCCACTGGTTGATGTTAAGGTTCCTATCCGGACATATCGAATACTCCTTAATCAACCTGATTTTGCAAGGTCTGGGAGCCCAAAATCCACCTTGCATCGAGGTTTACATGGCCGAGTGCGTCTCAAAGTCCGACGAGTATGCACGAGACGACAACGGGGGAACGTCGCCTGGTACTGTTCAAAAGTTGCAGCATTTCTTTTAAATAGTGATCGTACCATGAATGATGACGGTAAGGCAGTGACCTTGAGAATAGCAGAGCAGCAGCAGCCGCTGCAGCGAACAATCCCAGCAACACTGATTGTACAATTGCGGTGCGAACTGCGAATATCAGCTGCGAGCATCAACCAAGAAGTTGCCATTCCAAGTGAAGAAGACAATGCTTCTTTGCTTACCATTGCTACGTGTAGCTCATTCGTTATACTTTAGGGAGCATGCTGAGAAGTTGGAGTATTCGGCTTCGGGTTTAGTGAGGGTTTTAAATTTAAGGTTTGGGTTTTTAGGGTTAAGGGTTATTAGGTAGGAATCAGAGATTTAGGGTTTGGGTTTTGGGGTTTCGTATGTGTCTCGGGGTGGAAGGTGCCCCGGGTCGGAATTGGTGCTTTCACGGCTCCTTGGGGCTTTCGATTTTGGGGCCGTGTGGATTTACTGAATGATACCAGAGAACAGTCATGAAAATAACAGTTTGCTGATAACAGTCATGATGCAAGACTGATATCAGATAACCACAACTTTAACTTACTACTAGCAATATCAGTTGCCGTCGTGATAAGACTATGACTAAGAGTTTCATGATGATGAGCTGCTACCATGATATTCTTCGTTTGCACCGGTGAGCTTCGGATCTTGCATTATAGGGGCTTCAGTGTCAAGCCCTGGGAGGGTTTGGGCTTTGGGGCCCGAAACCCTAAACCCTAAACCCTGAACCCTAAACCCTAAACCCTAATCCTAAGCAGTTCGAGAGAGTTCCTGGGATCGGCTTTGGGGAGCTCCGGAGTTTAGAGAAGGATTGGGGCCTTTTGG